AATGCAATTTTCACTGGAAAAGTTTCCTGCTTAATGACATTCAAAATTCTATTCATCTACAATGTGACACTTCTCAACTCTCATTCAGTCACAAATGCAGAAGCAACACTCTGTAATTCACACTAGCCTTTCCAATAAATCAATCAATTTAGGTTGTACCATATTCTAATTCAGCTTCTATCATCTTCACCAATAAATCTTAAGTTTCATATCCACAATTGGCCATGGCCCAGAATAAAAGATTTAACAGAAGTTTTAGCTTGGTAGCTGTTGAGTAAGTGTTCTGATACATTTTCACACTATAAACATTTAATGAGTCTGGCTCCCAGCAGAGTATTTACTACATCCATTTATTACATAGTAGTATATTTGCAGGAGCAAAATAGAGCAAAGGTTACTTCAGATACTCTACTAATATAGCTTCTTGTAAAAAATATAAACTGCAACCATTTAACTCACAAAATTATTGTTAAAAGGTTAAATGTTCAGTAAATTCTGTTTTATCTGGTTCAGACAACTTTGGCAATTGTTTGTGACTTGAATATACTTTTTTCAGGCATTTTGTTCTAAAGCCCTATCTTTGACTACAGGTAAATTTCAGTTGATAACACAGAATTTGGTTCTCAGGAAAGTATAGGTCTTATGCCTGTTTGCTAATAAGTAAATGGGTCATAAGAGGTCTTCTATTCTTGAAAAGACCCTTCTCCAGGCTCTCTCCTCTCCAATCTCTGCTATTTCTTGTCTATAGCACCCACCTCCAACTGAAGTGAGAAACCAAAGTGTCTCAAACGAGGTCTTTTGTGAGAACAAACGAGGTCTTTTGTAAGAACATCTCTGGACACAAATCTGTTTAACACATTGGAAAAATGTGCTATACAATTCCACCTGCCCACTCCTCTGGAAAGTTCCACCTCATTACAAGAAGCACTTCCCAAATAGAGACTATTTCTACTTAATGACCCATGGACAGTGTTTAATACACCAGAAAGACTTGGTTACATTTATAACTTTTCTGATGATTCATACAAACTAAGAACCTCAGCATATGTTATGCTGAATCTTGAGGAGCACATTAAGTTCTAGCTAGGAAAACTTAGTACAAGCACACCTACAAATTCTTCTTGGAATCAGAAAGGCTATACCCATACCCCTATCCGCTAGCTTCCTGATGAGCAATATGTACAGCTTAGGTCTCAATTTATTTTCTGTAAAGAAAATACAAAATTTTCAATGGTGATGCTGTAACAATCAAGTGAATCATTCATGCAAAATGTTTAGCTGGAGGGGCTAGAGAAATGGCTCAGTAGTTTAAAGTTCTTGTTGTTCAAGCATGAGGACCAGAGTTCAGATTCCAGTACCTACTTAACAAGCCAAGCATCTAACATATATCAGTAACCCCAGCTACAAGGGGAGCAGAGACAAGAGGATTAGTAAGGCTTCCTGATTTCAAGACCAGTCAAGAAAATAAGAGTCCCAGGTTCAGGGAGAGCTTCCTGAATAGGTGAATACTTATAGAGAAGGATGTCTGATGCTCTCTTCTGGCCTTTACGCATGCATATATACATGTATGCCCCTGCAATCTAAATAAATACATGCTTAAAACTTAAATATATACAAGTAAATCTTAAAATACTTTAGTCATCTAGAACTATTTTAAAATTTTATTTATTTAGAGAAAAACAAAAAAACTCTCAACCCAAAGGATGAGAGCTTATATCTCAAAGCATCTGCCAAGGAATATCTACAAATTACTAGCCATTTTGATAGAAGATACTGTATAAATTTTATATATATTCAAGAGCAGAATATATATAAACCCCCACTTTTATTTTAAGAGGGAAGCAAAGTAGAGAGTAGAATACAACAGCTTTCTTTTGGATGCAACTATCTGAAAGGAAAATAGACATGAAGAGGGCAAACTACCTTTTCATTGTCTACATCAAATGCTGTGTGTGTGTGTGTGTGTGTGTGTGTGTAAAATCAACTGTGAGTATCTCTCTGAAAACCCCTAGCTACTAGACAGTCAAGTACGCTGAATAAGTGATTTCTATGCCCACTGATGCAGCATAGTAATACACACCCACATGGCAAACCTAGGACTTGCACAATAAGACCAAGTTATCATTTGTCTACAAATGCCCTGACTTTGCACAGTGGGTAAGCTTGCCATATTCAGAGTTGACCTCTATGAAGAGGTATGCATCAAAACACACAGGTCAAGTTCCTGTGTTGTGAGAGAAACCAGGACCTTGTTCAACATTTTTTCCCATTATTCTTAATTTTTGAAGGAATTCAAGGAACCAACCCTCCTAAGCACAAAAGCACACATGGTCTAGGTCACATTACAAACCATACACAGTCTAGTCACATTCTAGGTCACATAAGAAACCCAAGCACTGATGTGGGGTGAAGTAAACCTATGAAACCTTAAAACACCCCAATTCAGGTTGAAGGCCTCCAACTCAACTCTTCCTATTTAGCATCAAAGTCCATTAGTTGAAACAGTCTGGTCTCCATGGGATGAAAACAGCAGGAGCCAACAGACAAAAGCAGGAATAAAAGACATCAAACAGTTCTTTCACTTAAGAAAGGCAGTATGAGTGACTGAAATAAAATGCCTCTAAGAGCAGGTGTGTGACTGAAAGACTGTGTTGGGAAGGCTAACAGTATAATTAAGAACATTTTGTGACCAGAGTAACAAGGTTTCAAACAAAGGTGGATATATTTTAGAAAGGACACTGCTTGGAAGGGGCAAGGACAAGATACACATGACTAGAACATCCCATTTCTCCCTCATCCAGTAAATGAACATACATGTGTTTAGCAGAGATCACACCACTTCCATTACTACCTGGTATAAAACAATTGATCAACCCCAACAAGCTGTTCAAACTGCAATTGAGTTTCCCATGAATTTTGACCCCCAAGTTTTATATTTTACTTATTTAGAGTCTAACACTTTACTAGTATCTGGCTGCTATCTTCTAGTATCTGTGACTGGTCTTAGGAAAATTTTCAATCTTAAAAGACAAGATATGCATATAACACACAAGCGGATAGTGTGTTCATTACACTGAATGATGAGAAATGATTAGTTTCCATTCTTTTTTACCTTATCAGATAGAGTTCCTAAACTCTGCATATAAGTAGACATTCTATGCATTTTTCACATGGATATAATAATATACAATAATACAACTAATAATATTGGATTAGAAATGAAGACCATGTTTAAAGACATAAAATTAAAAGGAAAGCAAGCAATTTTAAACTTAAAAGAATTACCTAGTGAAATTACTATGAAGTGGATAAGAACCATATAGACATTATATAAGTGTTGATTTTTTTTGATTATAGGTAAAACTTTAGTAATTTTAATTATAAATACTTTTTCATTATGGAAAAATTTCCTTCCAAATAGTCTCCACAATGATATTAAGATTGAATATTTACTATGTGTTACTGTAAACAACCACACCTGTATTATGAATTCAATTAATCTAATAACACTGTGATGTTATTGGACACTTGTAAGCAGAACAACAGAGGTTCATAAATATTATTCCCAAGGTCACAAGAATAGCAAGTGCCACAGCTTGAATATAAACCCAGGAATGAAGGCTCTAGAATTTTTATCCTTAAATACCACACTAAGGAGCTCCTTGCTGGACTAGGACAGCCAGAGCTCACTGATATTATATTTGAAGGCCTGATAAATCCCTCAACTTGTTCAAAATTGCGTTTCTCATCTTATGACCAGGCTTTCCCCAACTGTGGACAAGTCTAGCTTCACTGCACAGATCAACACTCTTGACTCCAGAGTTCGTGATCTTCACCAGGCAGGTGACCTATGCTCAGCAACTGAAAGATGCAGAAAGGCCTGTATGTTTGTTTCAACCTAGCAAGGCACGCTCTGAAAACCAGTGCTCTCTAAGTACCAGTTGTCAGTTGGCCCAGGCTTTGTATGTCTGTCTCCCAGGCAGACATCACCCTGCCTCTTCACCAGCCTGATAATAGTTCCTAATAACCACTCAGATCATGAACTCTGCTCTGTGTTGCTAGAGGACTCAGTGTGTGTGATACCCGCTATCATGGTATCCCTTTGCTCATGTCCCATCCATCCGATCATTATCCAGATGATTCCTGCTTACAAAATTGAGCCCTGCTGAAGTTGTCATGACCACAGGTGATAGAGTCGGGAGGTTCCTGTAAGGTATAAGGTGAGCTTAGGTTCCTAACGTAGCCTCCCACCTGGTTCCCACGCTCTCACCTTATTTACATTAAGTGTCTGCTCACGTGGTGCTAACATCGTTCTTTTAAGACATGAGTCTCAGTGTGTTAAAACCTTATAGAGTCCCGGTTGCTCAGAGGAAAAGCCAGCACAGACTTCTACAGCCTGGTCCCATTGGCTCTTTACGTGGGCCATGAACTTCCTCCCCCTACTGACTGTCACCACCCAGGTTCCTGGATTCTATGATATCACAATCATGGGAAGTGGCGTGGAGCCTATGTTCTAGATCTCCACCTGCTCCAGACTTAAACTCCTCAAATCTTTGAGACTACCTGGCCCCTTTAGACTATGATACGCAATTTGGTTATTTATATAGCTAATGTGCTTTTTGCCTCCATGCTCTTGCCAAAATATAAGCCCTTGCCAAAGGCAGTGACCAGATATATTTCCCGAGCACATAGAACAGTGCTGATAATACATATTGTACAGTAAATAAATCCTCCACTTTAGAAGCTGATCAAGGTAAAATAAAATCTTCACTTGAATCTTGGGCAATTCAGATTTAAAGGCTTTTTTTGCAGAGGAATGCTAAGTGTGCTGATAGGAAATCTTGCTGTTAATTTACTGGAAGACCCAAGAAGGTCATTGAGACTGATTAGAGCGTGATAAAATAAAAGCCAGTTCTCCAAACTCCCACCTATGAACCGGAAGTCTGCTTCTGCTTACTTATACGGAGGGGTTAAATCACATTTTGGCTCTTTTCACTTACCTCCAGCTCATCAAGAGCTCCTCCCAGGGTCGCTGCCTGAGGCTCAGAAGGTGGTGGCACATTCTGGATGCCTTGGGAAGCATTTGAAATGACATCAAGAGCGTTCTGAATCTCTTCACAGACTGTGTCCTTACTGGCTTTGAGCGAAGCAACATCGGAATGTTCCAAACAAGCTGAACAAATTGAATGCAAGAGCGGGGAGTTCTCCTTCAAAGTAGCCCGAGCCCCTGCAATTTCATCCCTCTGGCTTGGAGATTTTAAGTCCTGAGAAGAGAAATCAAAGGGGAAATAATTTTACTATTGGTCATAGAAACAAGACATATTACACAGATGCTCCCTTGGGTCGCATGGGGCAACATAAATCAAAAAGATGTAGGTGCTAAGCAGTCAGCTGGAGTTAATCAAGGGCATCAGGACTCTAAAGTCCTTCAAATTTGAAGTTCTACAATAGTAAACTGGAGGCAGTTCATAGGTAAAGGTTATAGTGGTAGAGAGGTGTCACTGGTCAGCCATATATGTTGTCTTAGTTTTGATTACTGCTGCTAAGATAAAATACTCACTGAGACTCCCTGTACAGTAAGTCTAGAGTGTGTCAATGTGATAATTAAAACTAATCATCACATCTGTATAAACTGCTAAAAACTCTGACACATTATTAAGTGCATTATCAGGCAGCTTGAATTACTAATATTCTGCTAACCTAGTTTCCATTGATAGTAATATTTGCTTTTAACTCTTCATTAAAAAAAATAAACACTAAACTTTTTCACCATCCAACTACTTTTTCTATTTCAGAAATACCAATAAACCAATCCTATATTTTTCTTTGATACTTACCTAACAAATAGTTGCTAAGCACCTATCATATACTAGTCCTTCTGTTAGAATCCAGGCATGCAGCTATGAGAAATCCCACCAGACCCTCAATCTCCTGAACTTCATGTTGGGGGGAGGGGCAGGAAACTTACTGACAAATAATAAACTAGGCAAATAAAGAAAAATTCAGTTTCAAGCAACGAAAGTATGAATGAAACAAGATGTAAAATGCAGCAGCACCTGAAGTATGAAAGTGCTTTAGTGTGAGCACTCAGCAAGGATGTTTCTGTGGATATGACAATTTGAAGTAATCCCCATTGGAGAGTATCACAGACAGAGAAGAAACAACATACACAATGGCTGGTTATAACTGCCTAGGATGCAGTAAAGAAATTGCCAAGCACTACCTTAACCAAGTGATAAAGGCTGACATTATCAGTGATGTCACATGGACACATTATGACACATACACAAAAAGGATCACTTCTGGGGTACTCTATAGAGACCCATACCCCTTGCCTAATAATGAGAAACAAAACGAACAAGGGCAGCTCAGGACATTCCACCTGACATATGGGCACTATTCAGCAAAACCATCAAGGTTTGTAAAATAAGGAAAATTGTTGACAAATTGTCACAGACTAGAGCAGAACAGAACAAATGACAATTCTATGCAATGACAGTCTCTGGACTGGATCCTAAAACAGAATAAAGGCATTTGTACAAGCCTGGTAAATCCAAATAAATGCCATTGATAGTGATGCATCAATGTGATCTTTTTGTTAAGACAAATCTTAAGTTATTAGCAATGGAGAAAACTAGGAGAAAGGAATTCTCCATGCTTTTTTTTTAACCAACATATAATTACTCCCACAAATTTTCTTTTAAAAAGCTGTCAAGGGGCATGAACATTTATACTAGTTCATGTGTGTCATTTGCAGTATCTTTTACAAAATCCATAAAAATTTGATAAATGTGATTATTATCAAAACACTAAGTATCTTTAGGCAAGGACCAGAGCAAAATGGATGCATTGTGTCTTTTATAGCCTGTTAGTGAGCCCTCATCCTGATAATGTTCCATTCCTTCCTGTTCAGAAATGGTTTTATTTGCTATTCAAAATGGAATCTGAATTCATATGTCACACAACCTGTAAAGTACTTCTATATAGCACCTAACTGAGCATCTCAACTTTGGTAGAAGTTTGCCATTACTATCCCTGTCCACCAAGTAGATACTTAGCAAAGATAGAGAGACTGGTGACAGAAGAGTACCCATTACAAGCACTTGATTTTTTTTCACAACACTCTTCTTGCCTGGGACATTACTGCTGGCATTAATAAATGGCTCCTGCTACTGTATTTTTAGTTCCTTCCCTTATAAAAGCAAAAGCTGTTTTGTACCCCCAGGCTTTTTTGGAGATTAACCTCTTTACAAATTGTAGGGAGAACCGCTAAAACAGCTGTCAACCCACAGTTCATGCTCATTAATTACCCTAGAAAAGACAATTTGTGATTTTCTTGGCCTCCCATGATTTCTCCCTTATCTCTGGTCTGTGTGCTAGTTTTGACTCTGGCAAAGATGGGAGTCACCCATTCTTTTGGTATCTGTTTTTCCATTTATGAAAATGGAGATAATGATATTTCTGCCAGCCTTTTTACAAGATAGCACAAGAACAGCAGAAATGGAATACAGCCTGAAGTCATGCAACCCTGAGCATGCCAATCCCATCAGGTCTTAGAAGCTGCGTGGATGTAAGAAATGGAATGTACAGGGAAACCAGTAAATAATTACAGAAAATATAATGGATCATCCCTTAAATTTCATCAAGAATAGAATGTAGTTTTTGTACTGTGATGGTCTTGGTGATTTTCATATCCCTGGTTTATAGCAGCAGTCAACAATGTAAATCACATTGTAGAACACATAAAGATGTAAATCATATAAAGAACATAATGAATAGAAAGAATGCACAGCCTGTGTGAGAAACACTCACAAAAAATATAAATGTTCAGAAAGAGTCACAGAAGACTCTGTGTGAGACAGTGTAATCAGAACACATATTACATAAGTTCCTCTAAAGTAACCTGTGCATAATTCTTTATTTAGAATGACATCGTCAGTATTGAGGTGGAAAGTGGTGTAAATAAATCACTACAAAGAATGTTAAAGTTTAAAAATATCATTTCCTTTGCTTTGGTGGTGCCTAGGTATATCTTACTATAAGCTGAATAATTTCAATGCTGTAAGAACATTAGGAATTTTTAAAGTACAAAAACATAGCTTTTGAACACAGGCTTTGTCCTTCCTACCTAAGGCAATGGCACAATCCTTAAAAAGTACCAATACCCCAGATATCAAGTCTGGGAAACCTGCAAGGAAGGACAGGATCTGTAAACATATCAAAATTAATACATTATGATAGTTAATAGAATGGGAAGGCAAGGTAGAGGTTTTAGAGATCATTTGAGAAGACAAGATCATTGCTCACAAATTATATTACACATTATATACTTAATGTGCTAAATACACTCCTGGATAAATGGCCATCACTCTTCTAAATTAAAGCCTACCATGGGTATTTGTGGTTACTTTAACTGATGAGTCTATGGGTTCACAGGTTGTCTGTTTATCCTAACTCCAAACCAGTTCAAAATATTTATTAAGTATCAAGGACAAGGGGGGATGTCCCTGGATAGACAGGTATACAGAATTCGGCTCCTCAAGGACTGACACTTACTTAATGTCTTTCTAAAATATACCAGAGAAAAAACACACACAGGATTTCCAAGCCTAGGAGACATTAAATGCTTCCAGATGATGAAGAAACTCACAGATGGGATTAAAAGGAAAAGAGAAGACCTTACACATCTACACAAGTTGGTAGAGAATGTAACATATGAATTTTAACCCTGGCAAGGAAAATGAAGTATATGTAGAGATTTTAAAGAGCACACAATGTAGAAACAGGATGCTCTAAGCTATAGGTTAATTCAACCATTCACCCAACAATTATTGAGCCTGTACTGTGCTTCAAGCATTATGTTGATTAAGGGATGGGAATGTCAAGAAAAGGTTCTCAAACCAAAAGTGTAGACAAAGAAATTTTTACAGAAACAGGGTTGGAGAGGTAGCTCAGTTCTTAGGAGTAATTGTTGCTCTTGAAGAGGATCTAGATTCAGTTCCCAGCACCAACATGGCCAATAACCTATAATTCCTGCTCCAGAAAGATCTGGTAGCCTCCTGATTACTGGATGCAGGTGATAGATATACATGCATGCAGGCAAACATTTATACACATAAAATAAGTAATTTTCAAAAATTTTATAGAAACTAAAATAAAGCTACAGTATAGAGGATAATCCTCAACTTAAAGAGGTTAAAGTAAGCTTATTAGAGGAATTTGTCCAGCTCTTGGCGGCATAATTGAGAAATAAATTAGCATATATTCATCATCTACAATATGATACACACACATAGAAAACACGTAGTGTAATGATTTTTACAATTAAATTCATTATTTCCACTCTCATCATACCTAATCACCACACGTATATGCTGTAGAACTACTCTTCTAGCTTATTCCAAGTAAACAATACATTATTACCAGCTATCATTACCATACTGTAATTAGATACCCAAAACTTATACATTTTAAAACTATAACTTTTATCCCTTAATTTATTCTCATTAACTTCATGCCCTACCCCTAGCAACCACCATGAAACACTCTTCTAAATTTTATACTTCTTTTAGAATAAAATAAAATAAAAGCAAATACACCATTTTTTAAATCAGAAAGAAAGATACATTTCAAAGGGGGATAGAGAATTCAGGTATCATAATTACTCCAATAAATCAAATTATAGAAATATCATTTAATTTAGGCAATTCAAACAAATTTGTATATGAAAAGTCACAGAAAGTTAAGCTTAAATTACACCTATCTCCATACTAAAGGTTAGTGAAACAATCGGTACAACTACCTTTGGAAGATGCCTTATAGACCCACCTGGAGCCTAGTGCATGTATGTCCCACTAAGCTATCCTGCCCCTGGAAGATGATGTGCATGTATGGAAATGTGCTCATATGTTCATCAAAATACACAAAGATATCTGCAGCAGTCTGTTCCCAACATTTCCAAACTGGAAACAAAGTAATGAGAATCAGCAGAATGTGCTATATGCAAGAGAGTAAAAACCCCCACAGAGGGGTGTGTGTGTGTTGTTTGAATCTATCTATGTAAAATTTTGACTCAGACAACATGAATTTAGAGCAGGAATAAGAATGGTGATTATTCTTAAGAAGTGATCTGAGAAGAAATCTAACTCTAGTAATTCTGTTTCCTTTTCTAGTCACCTAGGTACACAGGTGTCTGCTGGAAATTTTCGTCAACCTCCATACTTTTGAGCTGTGTACACTACATACATTTTCTTGAAATACTGCT